ACATGCAAAGTCATGAGAAGGCATGTTCTCTAGCAGATCTTGTTATAGATCTAATGGCCTTTGAACAACTCTTGTTGAAACAGAGTGAAAGCTTGCTGGCTGATCCAGCTTCTGTGAACGTTGCGCAAGTGCTGAAACCAGCGTAACAAAATACTTTGTTCACCTTTGTTTCTTCGAACGGTGAAAAGAGCATGAACCAGTTGCTTCAATCTTCAGGTTCTCACTTTCAAGGTCGTTCGAACACTGCTAACAGAGGTCTTTGAAGGTTTGGAGCACAATCAAACAAAGGTAGAGGTTGTGGAAATCGTTCGAACATAATTTGCCATCTCTTTTACAAATTTGGACAGATGTCTACTCATGTTGGTACAGATTCGATGAGAATTTTATTCCAACGCTTCCACTTCCTTTGCTTAACTCACCAGCTCAGTTCTTTGAAAGTCCACAACATTAAAGTCAGTTGAAAGTCCAGTCACAACAAAATCAGTTTCAACCACAACAGAATCAGTTTCAACGTTGATACCAGTACGTTCGTCAGCCAACTGAATCCGATGTTCCACAAGCCATGGTTGCTGCTCAACAGCCAGCTCTTCTACCTACTCCAACTACACAACCTGCTTTAGAGTGGTACCCAGACTCTGGAGCAAGTCACCATGTGACAGCGAATCCCTTGAATCTCCTTCAAAGCCAACAATTGTCAGGATCAGATCAGGTCCTCATTGGCAATGGTCAAGGTTTTCCCATTCATGCTATTGGTTCCACAAAAATTTTGTCACCTATAGACACAAACAAAATTGACACTCAAAAAACTTCTTCATGTTCCTTCCATTATGAAAAATCTATTTAAGTGTGACTGTTTTTGCACATGATAACAATGTGTTGTGTGAATTTCATCCTACTAAATGCTTTGTCAAATTGCAGGAGTCTCATAAAATTCTTCTTGAAGGAACATTGGGAGAAGATGGACTCTATTGCTTTTCCAGCATTGCTTTCCTCGAACAAGTCACTCCTCTACCTCGTTATCGAGTTGTAATATTGTTCAGTCTTCAGATTCTAGGAAACAACATAGTTCTGTTTTGTCTCATTGTAATTCTGTAAAATCAAACTCAGTTAGTCCAATATATGTTATCTCTGATTCAGCTTATTCATTGTGTCCACACCAAGAATCTCTTAAAAATGTACTCAACACTTCAATAATGTCATTAGTTAAAGTCAAAACCAGGAGGTTGAGTCATGAAAACCTATGACTATCAGAATTATGCTCACATTGGCTTTAACTAATGGCTGGGTTCTCAGGCAATTAGATATAAATAATGCCTTCCTTAAAGGAGTTTCAGTTGAAGAGGATTTCATGACTCAACCTCCTAGTTTTGAGCATGCCAACAAGCATCTTGTTTGCAAATTAAATAAGGCTCTTTATGGTCTCAAACAAGCCGCTAGAGCTTGGTTTGACAAATTGCGAGGGGCCTTGATTTCTTTTGGTTTCAAATCCAGCAGCTGTGATCTTTCACTCTTTCTTTTCATGGCTAGCTTCAGAAGCATTTATGTCCCTGTATATGTGAATGACAATATAATTATAGGCACTGATCCTTCCTTCATTCAACAAATTATTTCTCATCTTAATCTCAATTTGCTCTAAAAGATTTGGGAGACTTGAACTACTTCCTTGGTGTTGAAATTAAGAGGCATGCTTCAAGTGGCATTAGCTTATTTATGCCAATCCAAATACATTTGAGATCTGTTAAATAGGTCAGCAATGGATGAGGCCAAAGGTATCTCCTCTCCTATGTCTTTTGGCTGCAAGCTTACCAAATATGGTTCTACTTATTTCAAGGATCCTCACCTTTATCGTTCTATCATTGGTGCCTTGCAATATGCAACAATAACTAGGCCAGAAATCAACTATGTTGTGAACAAAGTCTGTCAATTCATAGCCCAACCCCTTGATGATCATTGGTCAGTAGTTAAACGCATCCTCAGGTACCTCAAGGGTACTCCCACCTTTTGGCTTTATCTTCGAGTTGCAGATCCTTCCAGACCTCTCTCTCTCTTACAGCATTCTGATATGTTGACTGAGGCAGTGATCCAGATGACAAGAGTTCCACATCAGGTGCTTGTGTCTTCCTTGGCTCAAATCTTATTTCTTGGTGGTCAAAGAAACAAACATTGGTGGCTCGTTCTAGCACTGAGGCTGAATATAGGAGTCTTGCCACTACTTGTTCAGAAATTCTCTGGATTCAATCTTTACTTCGTGAGCTTCAGGTTTCACTTGCTACTCCTCAAGTGCTGTGTGATAATTTGAGCATAGTGGCTCTTTCTCATAATCCGATTCTTCATGTTAGAACCAAACATATGGAGCTTGACATCTTCTTTGTTCGTGAGAGAGTTATTCGAAAAGAGCTTCTTGTCTCTCATTCCAGCAACTGATCAAATTGCTGATACTATTACCAAGGCTTTATCTCCTGTTCGTTTTGCCGATCTCAGGAGCAAACTCAGAGTGTTAGATTCCCAACATAGCTGAGTTTGAGGGAGGGTATTAGATATATTGTAAGCTTAGCTTCGTTAAGTATTAGCTTAGCTAACACTGTTGTATTCTGCTAGCTTACTCCTGAATGTACAGGATCTATTTCTCTTTTCTGTTTTATGGTTTGTTAGTTGATTAGATTTGTTAGTTTCAGATCTATTAGTAGCTCAGCTCTATAAATAGAGCTCCTCTGTAATTCATCTTCAGAATTCATAATATCAAAGAATGGCTTTCTTGCTTTCTCTCATCTATTTCTCTCTTTCTCCTTTCAGCTTTAATACTGGAGATGTGCGAAAGATGAAAAATATTGCAAAGGCAACAATCGAATGGTCGATATCCTGAAGAGCTGGTTCAAATATTGTGTGATCAAGAAAGAAGAGACTTCGCTAGAATGACCATCTGTGGAAATGTCCTAGCAAGCAACTATAAATAACAAAAACTAAAACATGTCCAATTGATGGGGGTTGAGACATATATACCTCCTCTAGAAGATCACCATTTAAGAAAGCATTGTTTATGTCCAATTGATGCAGAGATCAGCCTTGAGTGAGGGCCAAAGTTAACATAATTCTAGTTGTGATAGGGTTAACATCAAGAAAAAAGGTCTTAGTGTAATCCAGCTCGTGTTGCTGGAGAAAACCTTTAACAACTAGCCTCGTTTTATACTTGTTCACCAACCCATCAAAATTTTCTTTAACTCGGAAAACTCACTTGCATCCAATAGGTTTGCATGATGGAGATCTGGAAACTAGGCTCCAGATGCCATTAGCTTGAAGTGCGAAAACTCTTGCTGCATAGCCTAAAACCAGAGAGGATCTTCCAAGGCTTGCGTAATGTTAGTTGGCTCTATATAGGCGGTACTTAGGTATGAATGGAGTGAGTGTGAGGAAGTACTTAGGTATGGTGGGATTCATATTTTGATCCTAGAAAGGAGGAAGTAGAGGAATTATTATAGTGAGATGGAGTTTGGGATTGAGGATGGGGATGGACTACGAGAATGACCAGGAATAGAGGGAGAACTAGAAGTGGGTCTGGAGATGGATTGTGATACGGAAGTAAGAATGTTACATTTGATTAGAGAAGCTAAAATGTTAAGTCCAGGATATGCAAATTCGTGTTCTGATTTGAAGGCACAGTTTCAATTGGGTTCGGAAGTTATTTTGGGTCAAATTATGATTAGTTGGCTGCCTTAATGGGTCAACTATGAAGGAAGATCAAAAGTTTTAGCATGTAAAGTGCAATAAAGAGATTTTTAGTTGTTATTAACTCTTGGAAGTTGGGTTTAGTTATTGTTATTTCGATTTCCTAAGAAACACAATTCTTGGGAGCATGACTCTTGGGAGTTGGGTTTAGTTATTTTTATTTCTATTTCCTAAGCAACACAACTCTTGGAGATATATGTCTCTTTGTATTCTCATGCTTTTAGTTATCCTATAAATATGGGATATTTTGTAATGAAGAAGACAGATTTGATAAATAAAAAAGTGTGTTGCAAGTTCTCAAACTTGTCTTGAATCTTGTTATCTTTATCTAACCTTGGGTTAGTGGTGAGGCAAGTGGGTTCTTTATCATTTGGGAGGGTGGCTTAGCCTTTAATCTCAATTGTGGTGGACTCTTATCCATCCCATTTATTTGCAAAGTGTATTTTCCTTTTTTTCCTCATACCCATCACGTATAAGATTGACGAAGAATGGACTGCCTAGACATGGACTGGTGTGTAGAGGAGTTAGACTGATTTGAAGATGACAAACTTGTTGAAGAAGTGGGACTTAGGGTGACCTGAGGAGGAGAAGACTGACCTGATGCAGACTAATATTGTGTGGTGGTTGACTAATGTGATGAGGACTGACATGGTGTGGACTGATAAGATTGACCCGAAGGTGACTGAGAAGCTCAATCAGCACTGGGTGGGTAGAGGATGAAGAAATGTTTGGAGGAACACAATTAGGTGTTGATTGGAAGACAAGTTATCAAAAGTTTGAGAATGGATAGAAGTTCCAAGATGAAAGGAAGGAGAAGACGGCACAATGGTGATGGGAAAAAAAGGGGTAGTTGACTGTGTTTGATTAAGAGTAGAGGATTGTTATATAAATACGAGAGGGTAACTGGTAGAGAAATATAATATAAAACCATAAGTGTCAAAGAATATCATGCATTATATTCTGGGAAATAGAACATAAAAAAAAAAAAGTTAACCATGCAAATCATGTTTCAGGGTTTCGGACAAGCAACCAGACCCTTCTGCCAATATTTGATAGCAATTACACCCAAGCTTAGGCTATTAGTAATTTAGAACTTACAAACCACGGGCAACAAGCTCTAACGCAGGAAGAAATTTCATTGCTGGAACTTCATAAAGATAATATTTGTTTACAAGTTAAATATAATTGATAAAAGCTAGTTCCATATAGATGATGAATAAAAAATCAGTTAAATGTATTCTGCACCAGCATGGGCAGCATAATTATTATTAGGTTACCTTTGCATCAAATTCAATGAAAGCCATACGTTGTTCAACAAAACTCCTTCGATATCCCACAGCATCAACAAGAAGATCCTGTCAAAACTTAGATGAGGATCAACATCAAAGAAACCACATTTTTCCCAAAAAAGAAAAGGATGAAAAAATGAAAAAATGAAAAAAAAAAATCAGCAGTTTAATAATAAATGAATTTAAACCATATTAAATCCCCATAACTTAGAACTTTAAGCCTGCAAATTACACAATACTAAGAAGCAGCAAGAGAACATAGATAAATCACCTTAATTTTCATTGCATTATGGAATCGCTGAATGTTATATTTTGTAGCCTGATCAGCCAGCTTTGCTATCTCCGTATCAATATCATCCTGCTCCTCCATCGATTTTAGTATCCCTTTCCTTTGATCTATAGGTCAAAACAAGATTTCATTTAGAATATCAAAGCAAAATGTTAATCTGAAGCTTTCATATCTTTCAACATACTATATTACTTCTACTTACCAATTCGGCTAATGATTGCTTGACGTTTTCTATTCTCATTCTGGGCTGTAATACTAATGCCCTCCTAAAAAATTCAGAATGAATAATAATAATTCGAACTGTAGTAGAAACAAATTTCTTCAAACCAAGATTAGGTTAAATTCAAAGCTTTAATCAACCAAACATATGCCCTTATAAAAAAGCTCTAGGTCAGAGAAATCAGTATATAGAAATTAAAATGTCAATTTTCTGCAGCATACCCACTGTTTACGAAGATTAGCTGCTTGATTCACTAAGCTTCTTTCCTCATCCTGAAACGTTTTAACACTTTCCTCCAAGGTAGCAATCAAATCTTGAAGCTTCCTTTCCTGGGAACTCAGCTTCTCAATTTCTCCCAGATTCAAATCTAAATAGTACAACAAAAGGGGAAAAGCGAGGCAATAAGGAACAAGCAGTTAAAACTGGAGTGTATCATTCATATATTGAATTGACAAGCTTTCAAAGTGACATACTATTCAATAGAAGCTGCGAGCTTTCCACTTGTGCAACAACTGCTGAGACATGATTCCCATACCTAGACTTGGACCAATGGTAGTGATTTTCTGGTGTCCATAAATCTATAATTCCCAATTTGGGGGCATCATCAGCATTCTTATCAGTTTCTTTGGATCCAACATACTGTACAACAATAAGATAAAAAAAAGTGTATAAATTGCATAACCTAATTATATTAAAGAACATCCATAAACATATTAGCTTGAAGCATATTCGGAAAAACCTATAAATTTAAATTACAAATTTACAGAGGAAGCATTAAAGGCATACTGAATGATCTAGATTAAACTGGCCAATCAAAACCTCCTTCACAGCAACAGGAGCATCAAAAATTTGATCTAGCCGGGAATAGATGCCAAGAGCACACATCTGGTTAAAATAATTAACAGAAATATTGAGGTTTCTTAAGGGGAAATTAAAAAAAAAAAAAAAAATCTGCTACACCAAACTTACATCTTCAGAAATTTCAAAAGGCTCACTTCGCTGGCCATCATTGCCAGTATAATTCAAAACTGGTACGTCAAAGAGCCGCAGGTGTTTCACCAGAAGGTCCCGATCACCAGAATCTTGTGTTATGAAAGACTGCATTTGAACACAAAAAATAATAAACAATGGAGACAATAAAGATCTATATGATCATTCTACCATCCCACAAAAAAGAAAAAAGGGAAGCTGCACTAAAATTGATAGGAAACAATTCCTATTTAAAAAAAGCAGAATTGTTTATTGATTTAAAGCTGAAGAAAAACAGAAAGACAAACAAACGCTCCAGGGTATGAAGAGAACTCGAAGCCCCAAGCTAAAACCAGAAAACAAAGTTTGACATAATGACCTCCAGGTAACGAGCCTTAGGCATACAAAATTACACTTTCAGGAATTTGGGTCTGGCCTTAGCCAATTAAGGGACATTTGGATCCTCAATTCCATCATAAAGTATCAAGGGAAAAGAGACAAGAGACATTCAGGGAAATCTGTGTGTCCCAACTATACAACAGGATATGGATAATAGTGTCATGAAAAAACCCTCCCAAAAGATTACGACACATACATGTCTCTTCATCCAAGAACCCTTTGGGTTTCGAATGGTGGATAATGTACAGACTATTTCACCTTGTGCGGAGCTTTAACATCTTTGTTTTTATTAGAAGAATGGATGGTGGAAAGAATCGAACTCTAGACCACTTGGTGACTGGGACTTTGATACCATGTCATGAATTAACTAGCTTTAAGGTAAAGTCACATAAATGGTTTTATTAAATCTCTAACATATAGCCAAAAACAATAAATACAGATATCACTACTATCCTAATTACCATAATTACATGATTTTGACTACCATATTTATATAATCAGCAAGATACTCTTTACATAGTTACCCACAATTACAAACACAAACCAATCAAAATTTATCAACTTTAATAGAGATGTAGAATTTTTGCAGTAAAAAAATTAAAAGGATCTAGTTAAAAATAGGAAACAATAAAGCATTAAAAAAAAGGGAAAGCATTTCTTCTTTAAAGGCAGAAAACATTGTCTCTACCACAAAAACAAAATCAAAGAGAGAGAAAGCATGTTTGGTTGAGAGAGAAAATATATGATGGGGTCCACTACAAATTATCTCTCTGTGGCAGATAATTTTTTATGCCTTTAAAGCAGAAATGTTTTCCCCTTTAAGAATGTTTGCACAAACGACAACAGAGTGGTATATGGGGCTTAAAAACACCATAAAATATTTAAATGAAGAATCTACAAATAATGGAGCAAGAACATGAACTTTGGGTTGGGCAAAATTCAGCAGAAATTGCTTTTGCAACAACAAAATAGAGACCATAATTTTAATACGATAAGCTAGGATTATGATACAAATCCTCCAAAGGTGCCGACGTAATTTAGGAAGCAACTTGTTAGAATAGCTGTTTAGTGTATATAGTAGAATAGTCCCACATCTTGTGGACTTAGCCTATTAGGTCATTTAGTCTCTTTAAATAGAGAGCTCATGTACAGTTATAATACACAATTATCCAACCTAAGTATTATTCAATCTCAACTTGGTACCAAAGCTATTTGTTCTGGGGATCCGCTTCCGCTAAAAGCCTAAGCTCACTACTTGGGTGTTCTCTTCTACTTTGTCGTGTGTCCTTCTGGCAAGTTTTCATCAGTTGTGTGTCCCTTCGGTAGGTCCTCTACGTCGTGCGTCCCTCCGGCTTATTTCTTCAACAGTCAAAACCAACATCAGCCGCCAGAATCACCGTTAGGGGCACCAGAGTACTGTTCCAGCATCAATTTCAACCGGAACACCTGCGATTAGATCCCCCTCTCCCTGGCGATAGCTCTATGGAAGACCCATCACCAAAGGACCTCCCACGCGGCTTCACATGCGTCTTCGTCTCCCTGCACGTGGTACTCACGCGCCACCCATCACTGGCGTGTGTGCACTGTTTTGGCATCCTTTTTTGGTCGTTCCGGGACAGAACAACTCAGATTTTTCTCCTTTTTCCAGATCTATGCACTTGGTTCTTTTTGGGTCTCACATCTGGCGTGTGTTTCTTCTTGATTGGCTATCGTTTGCAAAAGTTCACTTGGTTCTGCAAATTTTTCTATTGCATTTATAATTTATTATAATGGCAGCATCATCTCCTGATCTCTCGGAAGTTAACTCTCCTTCTCCTCCTGCCAAAACTTCCTTAGTATCATCTCCACTAATGTTGGGCCCATTACCTCTTCCAGACTGAAGGGTTCTAATAACTACAAGAATTGGGCCACCTTTGATCGTGTCTGGTTCTTTGGACAAGGGCATGGGGGTCATCTCACTGTTCCATCTACTGATATCCCTAAGGTTGAGAAATCTGAATGGGAAAGGATTGATAATCAACTTATGGCAGTCTATTGATCTAGTTGTCTTGGATATTTTCTACTCTTTTCAGACATGCTATGAAGTGTGGGAGGAAGCCAAACACCTCTACACCAATGATATTCAGGAGCTCTATTATATCATGTCTCAACTCATGAATTTACGCAAATCATCTGATATTCAGATGGAAACATATATTGGGAAAAGTCAATCTTTGATGCAAGCCTACTTGGACATGATGCCATAACCTTTTGATGCTTTTGCATATCGAAAACAGGTAGACTGTCTCTTTATGGTTACCACTCTTTGGTCTTCCCGAGAAGTATGATGTTGTCCGTGACACTATCTTGACTGATGGAGATCCTAGTCTATCACTGACCTACCAACGCCTCTTGAATCCCAATAAGAAACCAATTTTTGCTCCTGATTCATCTTCTGTTGTTGATTCTACTGCTCTTGTTTCCCGTACTGACATTAGCGGGAACAGTGGTCGCAGTTGAGGCCGAGGCCAAGGCGGACGTGGTCAGAGACCTTGTTGTAATTATTGTCAGCAACTTTGTCATTTTGAAGATCATTGTTACACGAAGTATCCTCACCTGTGACTATCTTTTGCTGCGAATATAGCTCAGTCAGACACTGCATCCTTTGGTTAGTTTCTCTCTCACCTGCGGACTACGTTGCACTCCAGACTCTTCTCAGGAAGGCTTCTCCTCAGTCTCAGCCTTCCGCTCTAGATACTGATAATCCTGTTGCTTGTGTTTTTCGTTCTACATCACTTGGCCCTTGGATATTTGACTCAGGTGCTACCGATCATCTCTGTGGTAATAAGAAACTCTTTACATCTCTTACTTATCTGATCATTTATCTTCTTTTACAATTGCTGATGGAACCAAAGTCCCAGTTCATGGGATTGGACGAGCTCTTCCAACCTCTACCTTGACTTTGACATCTGTTTATTACATTCATGGCATCCCTTGTAACTTAATTTATGTTAGTAAATTGGTCAACTCCCTCACTTGCACTATTACTTTCTCTAACCATTCTGTTTTTGTGCAGGATCCGGGTACGGGGAAGATGATTGGAGTGGGTCGTAAGTCACGGGGGCTTTACTATCTGGTTGTGCCTCGTCCTTCGGTGGCATGCTCTCTCACAGAATCTCCACAACTTATCCAAAGTCACCACAGTCATCCAAGTCTTTTAAGTTACAGAAGATGGTCCCTCTTTAATCTGATCTTCAGTCTTTAGATTGTGTGTCTTATCAGCAAGGGAAGCATACACGCTCCTTCTTTGCCAGTCGAGTCCACAAACGAGTTGATGCTCCTTTCTCTCTTGTTCATTCAGATATTTGGGGTCCAAGTCGTACTTTGTCTGTTTTACGTTTCCGGTATTTTGTTACCTTTATTGATGATTATTCTTGTTGTACTTGGATTTATTTAATGAAAAATAGTTCTGACTTATTTTCCATTTATAAAAAAATTTCTTCTGAGATTCATACTCAATTTGGTGTTTCTATTCGTATTCTACATAGTGATGATGCTAACGAATATGTTTCTATTGATTTTTCTAATTTCTTGACTACACAAGGTACTTTACATCAAACCACTTGTCCACACACTCCATAACAAAATGGGGTGGCTGAACGTAAAAACCGACATCTCATTGAAACTGCTCATACCCTTCTTATTCATATGCAGGTACCCCTTCGCTTCTAGGCGGATGTCGTACTCATCTCTTGTTTTCTCATTAATCGCATGCCTTCATATGTGCTCAACAATGACATTCCTCATAATCTATTGTTTCCGGATGCTCCTCCTTATCCTCTAACTCCACATGTCTTTGGTTGTACTTGTTTAGTTCATGATCTCACTCCTGGTACGATAAGTTAACATCCAAAGCTTTTAAGTGTATCTTTCTTTGTTATTCTCGTATTCAAAAGGGTTATCGTTGTTATTCTCCTAATCTTAAGCGTTATATTGTTTCGGCATATGTCATTTTCCTTGGTCAACAACCCTTTCATTCTATCCCATCTCAGTTGTCACAGGTTGATCAGGTTCTTCCTGTTCCTTTTCTTGACTTATCTTTACCAGTTGCAGACCTCTTGCCTTCATCCCTACAGACCACCCTTTTCACACCTATCAGCGTCGTCAGAAAGTGCCTCCTGCGGACTTGACCATGGGTGACTCATCTCCTTTTCCAGTCATCTCTTCCCTCCGGCTCCTTCACCAGATGCTCTTCCCATTGCCCAAAGAAAAAGTATACGTACTACTCGTAACCCTCATCCTCTTTATACCTTTTTAAGCTATGACCGTCTTTCTACTTTTTTTTACACCTTTGTTTCTTGTCTTTCTTCTGTTTCTATTCCTAAGACCACAGGTGAAGCACTTTCCCATCCAGGGTGGCACCAAGAGATACTTGTTGAGATGACTGTTCTTCATTCCAATGACACTTGGGATCTTACTCCTGTTCCTCCGGAAAAGTCTATAGTTGGTTGTCGGTGGGTCTTTACTGTCAAGGTTGGACCTAATGGCCATATTGACCTCTCAAGGCGCGCTCAGTTGCCAAGGGTTTTACTTAGATCTTCGGTCTTAACTCAGTGACATGTTCTCTCTTGTTGCTAAGATGGCGTCAGTCCGCATGTTTCTTACCCTTGCTGCTGTTCGTCACTGGCCACTCCTTCAACGAGACATTAAAAATGCTTTTCTTCATGATGATTTACCAAAAGAGGGTTTAC